TCTCTCTCTCTCTTCTCTCTTCTCTCTCTCTCTCTCTCTCTCTCTCTCTCTCTCTCTCTCTCTCTCTCTTCTGTATTGGATTTCGCGATTTTGCACTTTACGCGTACAACGAACTTTCATTGAACGCGAAAAGATACATGCGTTCTCCAGCATCGGTTGCAGCGAAATGCGATTTAATTTAACAGACAGTTTATCGTTTGCGATTATCGTTTGATGTCTGCCGAACGAATTGTACATATCCGTTCTTAAAACTGCAAGCCACGGCTGGGGAAAACGGGGGGGGGGGCAAGAAATTATTTACTCGCGGTAACATATTACCAGATCTGTTTGTGCAATAACCAAGTTACTCTTACGCTGTAATGAAGGTAAAAAAAGCGATATAATGTTCGCGATGCAGTGCGGCGCATTGGAAACAACATATAATATTCTCACATGTTCTTCGAATTGTTAATTTAATTATTCGCTTGATACGTAATATTACTGAACATGGAATAACAAGATTATACATAAATTTACATCTATATTCTATTTATGCAAAAATCTGTAGTATCTGTAAAATTTAACACTTTAAGTTGTTAATCAAAAGTTAGTTTTTCATTGAATATTTAATAACATAATAATAATAATAATTTGTTTCCTGATAGATATTCTAAATCTATTCTTCTTTGTAAATTCGATTCAGCTAGTGTAGCCTGAGAATACTTGAAAAATTCTAAAATTCTAAATTTATTATACATAAAATTATCGTTTTCATAAAATGATGGATTAGATCAAAATAATCAAATTTTTTACATAAAATTTTTGAAAGATTACATGTACATAAAGATATATTTTCGTTTTCTAAAATATTTGTATAAACGATAGTTCAAACAATTAAAATGAAAAATCAAATAAATAATTCATAATGTAATAAATCAAGAATATGTTCAAGAAACAGATAGTAATAATGGACAATCTCCGCAAGCAGGATCTTCTAATGGCGTTCTAATAACCTATTTTCTTATTTCTTGAATTTTTATATATACATATATAAAATTCAAGATAAAAAATGCTTATGTCGCCAATCACATACCGTTATCTTTAACGGGTTTCCAACGACTCAAAAGCCAGGGCTAACTTTATCTTTTAATAAGTCGATAATCAAATACCGATTACTTTCTTTTTCTCCATGGGAAATACTTTCTTATCATGAAAAATATCATTTCAGCCATAGCTCGAATTTAAAATCTCTTGAATTATTTGTGCAGAGTTCTATCAATTCAACTATATGATCTTATCGCAGTAATCAAAAATGTCCTTCCCACTAGATAAGTTTGTCACTTTTTCTTTTCTCGCTTTTTTATACATACATTCACAATAAAGAGATGTGATCCGTAAGCATAACATGTTTGCTAATGTTTCTTTGAAAAAAATCGATTATCGTATATTTATATTTCAAATATTTAATATTTTTTAAATACTTTATAATTTTTACAAGCATCATTATTTTCATTTAAAATTACTTTCATTGTAATTTTATTTGATTTTATATATTAAATATACCTTTGATGTAAAATATCACTATAATTAATTTATTTAATCACTTTTAACAAACAATAAAATTAAGAAAATTTGTAAAAAATTACAATATAGTCATAATTACAGAAATATTTAGTTATAATTATAGAAATATTTTTCTTAATTACATTTTAATGAACCTTTTAATGATCGTTTCAAATAAAAATCGTTCCTAATTTAATGTTATTAAACATTAACTAAATATTTAGAAATAAAGATATTATGAAATTTTTAACAATTAAAATTTTTTAAAATATACAAGGAATCACTAATTAATTTGTATAAAATTAAACGTTATTAATCCAAATTAACCAATGCTTTTCGTGAATTATTTGTTAACTTAAAATTATCTTGATTTTCAAATAATGTCAATTAATTTAAGTAATTTTTTTATCTTAAAATAACAGCTTAAAAATAGATTTTAGAAAAGATTAAGAAACAATTTAAAATATCTATTGCGTTTGTAAAAGATAAAAAGTATATAAATAGAATAAGAAAGTAATCACTTATCGCACGGTTTTTAAACTTGATATGTCGTAATTGTGTTTATTTTTCAATGAAAAACTATCTTAATTTCAAATAAAATTAATAAAATTAATTTAGATGTAATAAAATATTCAGCTTTGTGACAGTTTCGTTGTGCGCTTGCTGATTTGTGAATCCGTACAATCATTGTTGTATCTCGAATTTAATCAATACTTGACCTTTGATATTTGTCCCTATATCAATACTTACATATCCAATAAAAGTTTATTTACTTAAAAGTTTTATTATTTTCACTTAAAAATATCAGAATATACAATCAATTGAAATAGTATGTAGGAATTTCCGTAGTTTATATTGGAATTAAAAAATTTAATAGGAAAGTTGATAATAATTGTCAACAATTTTATAAAAATACACACAATAATCATGTACAAACATACACATATTGTTAATATTTACCTATACCGATAAAAAAATACCGCATATTTATTATTAAAATACATGTACATGTAATATGAATTTTCAATAGATTTGTTTCGTAAAATAAAATTCATTGTCTTCGAACAAATTAACAACGGCAGTGCCGTGCCTTAACGAGCACAACGGGGTAACGAGAACGAAGATCGGGCGGGCACCAGAGAATCAGCTTTGTTCGTGTGACAAAGGAATATTTTAATGAGAAGGGAGGTTGCGGCTTATCCGGCCGAACGCGCGCTGCAGGACATTGCGTGCGCGGCATAACAAACGCCGAATTTTGTATAGAGGAAAAAAAAGCGGAAGTTTTAATCGGCCACCACTCGGGAAAGTTTCGTAGTAGACATTTTCAATATCCAAGAGGACAATGGGGAATAAATTATATAGCGAAAGGTCGTGAATCAGCTAGGGTTTTTTTTGTATGATGTGCGTGCTTGTATATCTTAAGCATTAAGCCGCGAAAGATGTACCGCCAATTTTTCGCGTGTAAAATCTTTATTTACTATAAACGCTATTCGATTTATT